TTCCTTTCCCTTTTCTTAGTTGCTATTGTGTTTTTTTGCATTAGATACCACTTTTATAATTAGACTATGCAGTCATCTTACTTCTAATGTCATCAGTTCTTCTCTTTACATTAATGTTTTGCTTTTCTGCCACATCGCCTTAAAAAAATTCTGGAATTAAGAAGGAAGTACATATGAGCTTCTACATCATGCCAGGCTCTTTATCCCATGATCACGTTTTATCCATGTGTAATCTTCAATATGGTGCTTATGCCCATCCTTCTCGAATAAGGAAAGTGACATTTAGAGAGATTAAGTGATCAGGAGTTCACATGTTGGAATGGGCGAGTCGGAAGTGACTCAGGCCAGGATCTTCTTCATGACCTTTGGAAGGCTATGTTTGCTAAGGAGTCAGCACCCATGGCATCTGCTTATAATGGGGTACCATGGGAATTGTGCACAACATACAACGAGGCAGGTCTGGGTTCCACATGCCCCAGCAGTGTCCTGGCTGACCATTGGGGCATTGCTTAGATACTCTTGAGTCTGAAAAAACTTGGGGTGCACAGAGCTGTGTGTCCAGTGGTGTCTGCAGGGGCAGAGCCACCATGTGCTCCCGTGACAGGCAGTGTGGTGGAGGCAGCTATTCTTGTCTCCACCTGTCTTCCATTTTTTCCAGGCTGTGAGCTATGGATGAGGTTATTGATGGCTTCTCAAGGTAGAAAAGCGGCTCAGTGAGCCTTAGAAAGGACGGGTTTCTTTTCTTTCTTTTTTTTTTTTGGTCTGTGGGCCTCACCCTGTGAAAGAGAAAAGAACAAGCAAAGGCAGCCTTCCTTTCAAGCTGGGATGCAGGAATTGGAAGAGGGGCTTGTAGGAGATAAATCAAAGAAAATTGTCTAGAATTGGTACAAACGGAATTTGGGCTTCACAAGTGCTGGAGTGGTGAGGCAGGATCTGTGTTCCTCTAGCTGCAACCTGAATTACTGCACCTCCAGGGGAAGGCAGCTCTTTCACCCACTCTCAAAGCACAGGCATGTTCAACCTCTTCTGCCCAGGGCTAGCGAACATGTGCAGCCCCTCCCAAAGGCTGACCTTGATCAGGATGGCTTCTCTCTCACAACTCTTTTCCCCAAGACTCCGATACTGGGCATCCCGCCCCACCCAAAAATCAGTGTGGAGTATACAGCATGCCAGGGCACTTGATCACATCCACTCACTTAACCTTCACGACAGCCCCAGGAAGATCTGGTCATTTCCATTTTCTATATGAAACAACTTGTTCAGAGAGGTCGAACAACTGGCCCAGTGTCACACAGCTCTCCGGGACAGTGTCGCTCCAATCAATGCCATGTTATTTACACTGGCTGTGGCAGGATCTCATCCAGGGAGCATCCTGGGAACACCAGGCTGTGCCCGTCTCATCAGAAAAGATAAATCTCCAGGGCTGAATTGCTTGTTAGAGGTAGATTCTCCTGAAATACTCTTTTGGCTATACTGTGAAAGCCAGTGATTCAAAGGTTCTTGCCAAGGGATCATCATAAATCCTGTTCAGACAGAGAAATCCCTAAAGGAAGAATGTTTCTTTGCAGTGGCCCACAGCCTTGGGCAATAATGTCCAGAAGAGGAAAATTTGCAACAATGCTTGAATGAGAGCCGGGGGACTTGTTTACATGGGTGGGACACAGATGGCCCCATAAGTAGGATTTGATGAAGAGTCACCCTCACACACATGGGGAGCAGGGAGGGGGCTTCAGACACGGGTGTGGAAGTGGCTGCTGTCACGTGTGGAAGTTCCTGTAATCCTCTGCCTGGGCCACTGTGTTTCTTTCTTTCTTTTTTTTAAAGATGCATTTATTTATTTATGCATACAAGAACTGGAGTACAGGCCAGAGGTGCAGGGGTAGCGAGAGGATTCACCAGAGACAGAGTGGGGAGCAGAACAGGCAGATTGATGAAGTACACTGCTGAGGGGAGCAGTGGGTCAGGAGAGGTCTGCTGCGCCCTGTGGGTCACCTCCCGGGCTGGGGAGAGAATTTGCATTGTAGTGACTGCAGCCAGCCTTCATAGTGTTGTGCTTTAACCAGTTGCACCACCAGGGAGGGCCTGGCTGTGTTTCTTTCAGGGCCAGGAAAGCCCTGAGTCTGTCCTCAGTAGTGGGGAATAAAAGCTATGGCTGCTACTTATTTCTTTCCTTTCTCTTTTCTCTGTCCCTGTAGTCTAATCAAGCTGGCAGACCAGTCAGTGTGCATGCCCAAATGGGGGAGATATGAGCAGGTTACCAGCCAGACAGCTTGTCCTTCTCTGGAATCAGTCTGCACATATATTTGCCAGGACCCACCATGTGTAGGACCTGATGCTCTGCTAGAGGGTGCAGGAAGCAAGGAGAGCCTGAAAGTGTGTGTGTGTGTGTGTGTGTGTGTGTGCTTCTTTCTCCAAGCACATTCCAGGTACACGCTTTGTAATGAAAACTATTTTTTAATGGCTTACTTTATTATTTTTTAAAATTTATTTATTTATGCATACAAAACTGGGGTACAGACCAGAGGTGCAGGGGCAGTGAGAGGCTTCCCAGAGGCGGGTCAGGAGAGGTCTGCTGCACCATGTGGGTCAGCTCCGGGACCGGCTATCAAACTCGCATTAATGCGGCTGTAGCTAGCTTGCAGTGCTGTGTCCTAACCCACTGTACCACCAGGGAGAACCTTTGATGAAAACTAGTAATCATTTTTTCCACCCGAGGATGGAAGATAATTTAAATTTGCCCTAATAATTTTCCCATTATTCTTAAACAATTAGAAAAATACTATTTTTGAACACACACACACATTCTGAGAAAGACTTGGACTTGGAAATAGAAGCAAAAAATCAAACAAGGGTTTATCTATGGGAACATTTTCTTAAGGTCAGATTTCTTGGGCACTTATTTTGGATTTTGGGAAAAGTAATGTCAGTTTTCATTCGCCATTCCTGTTCTGCATGAATGATCTCACAGCAGCAGTCCGATAAGATAGACTGAGGAGCCAGGTGTTCAGAGAGGTTAAGTCACTTGCCTGAGATCACACAGCTATAAGTGATGGAACCTTCATCTTAACCCCAGGTTTCTCAGTCCAAGACTCTGCCCCTTGTTCCTCCCTGGAGTTTTATTGAAGGGCAGTGAAAGATACTTAACCTGGGTATATTGAACTGGCACAAGTTTTTACTGTCATCAGAAACTTGTTCCCTTTGGAGCCTGGGTGTTTTTGCAGTGTGAAGTGATGCACAACCCCTGTCCGCTGTGACTTTCCAGCCCCTGCTTCCAGAGCCCAGCAAAGGAACAAGGGAAATAGAAAGTTAAATGAACTCCCCAAAGGGTAGTCACCAGGAGTCAATGGATATTTGCTTTATTCTATTTGTTTGATTTAGAACAAAACAAAACAACAAATGTTCTCTGCCTCTGGTTCCAAGGACTTAGCTGCAGATTTAACAACAGCAGTTCCCATGAATAATGAAAGAGCTTCCAAGTTGTCTGAAAACAACCACAACATCAAAGAGACAAGCAAAAAATGAAACTCAGGTGTTTACTTCCTCTCGCCTGCATTCCCAGCCTCAGCAACATCACAGCCATCATCTGGGCACTGAGTGGCTCTGAAAGTCCTTAGACCTGCTGGGGCAGAAGCCGCATTGTATAAAGGTCCCTCAGTGGCATGCCATATTAACAGGAGAAGCCCTGCCCCAAGGAATGCTGGGAAAGAGGAGTGCTTACCTCCTGGGGGGCTGGGGTGAGTAAGCCACTCACTCTAGGTCAGGGCATCCAAAAAATGCAGTGATCAATTTCAACAATATTTAATGCAATATGAAAAAAAAATAATTTAAAGGAGCCCAGACTACTGAGTTCTTCCTCCTTCTGGATCCTTGAGAGGAGAGGCAAGAGATCCTGGTGGAGGTCTGTTAATATTTTAAATTCTAAGCAAGTGAAATTGCATTGAGTTATTTCCAGTTTGGTCTACTTATCTCTTATAACTGGATTTTTCTTCAGTGTAACACTCTCCCAACTGAGCTATTTCGGCTGCCGCTTGTATAACTGGATTTTTTTTTTAACTGGATTTTTAATAACTGATGATACACAAAGAAAGTAGCCTTGTAGCCTGGACATTTAAGCCTCTAGTTTAGTCCACAGGCTAACTCCAGCTTTACTGAGGACTATGATGATTGAATCAGGTAACATTTATGGAGACTTCTGTATGCTAAGTGTTACCTGGATTAGCTTATTGCTTTTATGCAAGAATCCTCTGAAGTGATGACTTCTGTCATTAACTTGGTGGTGGTGAAGTGAGCGTCTGGAGACCTGCAGAAGTGAGGGACCCTGTCCGGTTATCCAGGGAACCAAGCCAAGGAGATAGAAGTCACTTCCGATGGTCCTCCCTGGTGCCACAAAGGGTTAGGACTCAGCACTGCAAGTAAGTGCGGCGTTCGATCCCTGCCCGGGAGCTGACCCACATGGCACAGAGGACCCCTCCCGCCCGCTGCAAGTCAGGTCCCAGCCACTGGCCCCAGAATCTCTCTCTTGCTTCCTTCCCAAATGAATGTGCATGGCATTCAAAGTTCTAGAATAAATTTATGCAGGTTTTTGTCTTCAATGTGTAAGCATTAGATTGCAAATGTCTTTATTCTGCAAATCTGTCCCTTTTTACTTTTTTTAAATGTTAAAATGCTCTTTAAAACAATGAGTTGACAGTCATCAACTCCATTAGTTGCCTTCTGAAAAGCTGTAGTTTTGGCTGCCATTTTCTTTATAATTGGGACGGGAAGCGAGGCGATGCTTTCCTTCCCCGGGAGGCAGATGTCAGCGCCCCCTGGGGGTGGGCTGGAAGCACCTGTGAGCCCAGGTCAGCCCCCGTGGCTGCCCCACCCTTCTCTGCGGCCACTCCCAGGCGCTGTTGCTCAGCATTAGCCTCCTGGCCGCGCGTCTGTGCGGGACTCATTAGCAGTGGGTGTGTGTCTCACCACAGTGGCTCATTCACAAGCCTGCCAGCAGCGCCAGGACCCGGCCCGCCTCTCTGGCCGTCCTAACAAAGCTGGGCAGCGCCCTCACACCCGCCACCACCACGGGAGGGGCCAGAGCTGGAGGAGGGAAGGCACAGCTTGGAGATGGTGTCACCCCTGGATCCTGCCCATCCTGGGAGACTCTGGGCGGCCAGCTGCTGTTCCTGACCTCGCCAAGGTGGAGTGAGTAGGCACTGGGTTGGACGAGCCTGGCCTCTCATCCGCCAGCTTCCCAGCGGTGCCGGCGACACCGCCCAGTCCAGCAAGGGACAGGGATGGTGGCAGAGATCTGCAAAGGGACTTGCTTTTCGGGACAAAGCACTAGGACGGGAGGACAGTGCTGTCTGCCCTGCCCACACAGGATATAGTGGCCGCCGAGCGCTCTGACGCTGTCTGCATTTGCTGGTTTTCTGCTTTGCACCCTGGCGGAGGTCTCTTTCGGGTTCAGTTTGCTTTTCCTAACAGCCTGGTCACTGCTGCCAGACCGGGGCTCCACGGCTCGTCCGGGAACTGTTCTGCTGTTAGGAGTTTCCCAAAGTTTGTTCTGGTTTATCTTTTAGAAAAATGGCAGGGACCGGGCCCCACTGCCACATTGCAGTGTCGGGGGACACACGCTTGGGGCACGACTCCCATCTTGTGCCTTTGTCTGGTCTCCTCATTCAGTCTCCTGGATCTGTGGGGCTGACTACCAATTGGTGCTTGACCTAGTTTCAAAGCCACTGTGTTACCCTCGCTCATCATAACAAACGGGCTGTGAGGGCTTGTTCAGTGGGATGCAAAGTGCGCTGCGTCTTTTGGGGTCACTTCTACCTTCTTGGAGTGTGAATGCGTGGATACATAGATGTGTGTGTGTGTGCATGAGTGTCTTTGCACGTGTGCACATGTGTTTTGCATGTGCACATGTGTGCATGTGTGTGGCTGCATGGAAGATGCCTGGAAGTGTGTGTGCAAATATGTGAACGTGGCACAGCCACCCATGTGGAGACTGACGTTTCCCACGCTGTGACGGACTCGGCGTCTCCAGCTTCCTGTGGAATCCTCGCTCACAGGGCAGCTGGTTTCCCTGCGTTGATGTCTCATTTTCGGCTTGCGGCACTTGCTCTGGAGCATGGTCCTCATATTTTCTGCTCTTGGTGTCAGCTCTGTTTGCCTCTCTTCTGCCAAAGGGCACCACGGACTTACTCAAAGGACCTTTTGAACTGTTGGCTGGATGAATGGAGAGTGCAGCCCGGACGGTCACTGGGACAGCGCACGCTGTCAATGGCGCTGCTGGGCGGTGACTCAGGCTCTGGCTTGGGCGGCTGCTGGTCCCAGACGGTATGGGAGGAGGGATTTTGTGGGTGTAGTTCCGAGCCTGTGACCTTTCACCGCCATTTTACCTTGGATCTGAGACACTCCCTCCCAACAGACTGCATTTCAAAAGTAATAACCAACCTGTTTTCTCATTTTTAATTAATCATATGTACATAATTGCCGATCAGAACTTCTAATCAGTCTGAGTTAATCAGAGGTAACATTTATTTATTTACAAAGAACTTTCTATATGACTGACCTATTCCAGGTGTTGGGGGGGTAGAAAGTGAATAAAATTCAGTCGTAGCAAGAATTTCCAGTATATAATGTTCTGCTTGGTTCATCATGTGAATTTGGAAAATGTTTGAGCACCTCTATATGTTTTAAGAGGTCCCCAGAGTCCTCCCTAGTGGCTCAACCAGTTAAAGCACATCACTCTGAAGCTGTCTGCAGCCACTGCAGCTCGAGTTCAGTTCAGAGCCAGGGAGCTGACCCACCTAGTGCAGCAGACCTCTCCTGTCTCCCCCGCTGCTCCCCTCAGCAGTGAATTCAGTCAATCTGCCAGCTCTGCTCCCCACTCTGTCTCTGGTGAATCCTCTCACTGCCCCTGCACCTCTGGCCTGTATGCATAAATAAATAAATCTTTAAAAAAGAAATAAAGTGGTGGCCAGCATCTTATAAATGGGACCCCCTTTCATCTTCAGAGCAACCCTATGAATTAGGCTACAGATGTCACTTTTCAAAGAATTTTTAAGATCTACTATTTTAGCAGCTTTCAAAGATATAATGCATTGTTGTTTGAAGTTTGTTTTGATGGTTTCTTGGGCGTCTCTGAAAACCCTAAGCATAGATGAGCCTGTGGCTACGTAGAATAGGGAAGCATGTAGCTCATAGAGAGATTCTGCCTGCTCCCCTCCTGACTGAAAGCTGGGGACACTGAGACAGGTGTGGCAGTGGGTTTCAATACCCCCGGGGTGCAGACCAGCTGTGTCGGTCACGGCACACTGGCTTGTTACTGCCTGATTCATTCTGGGCTGTGTGGCTAATCCCAAGAGTATGCTGGGTAATTCTATCCAGGCTTGAGCTAAGAACAACCAAAATTAGATACTTTGCAAACTCCTTAAGGGTCAGGGCCTAGCTGTGCTCTGTGCTGTGTCCCTGGTTCCCTGACAGTGACCACTCCATGGTAGGCTGTTAGCAGGCATGTGTTGGGTGAATGAACTGGATGAAAGGAAGGGGGGAAACAAGGGTAACCTTGGCACACCCTCTGGGAGCTACTGGCCGCCATTCTTGGATTCTCCCACAGCAGAGTTATCTTTTTGAATCAAATTGAAGTCATCAGTATTTTTTTTAAAGATTTATTTATTTATTCATACAGAATTGGGGTACAGGCCAGAGATGCGGAGGGTGAGAGGATTCACCAGGGACAGAGTGTTTCCCCACTCTGTCTCTAGTGAATCCTCTCACCACCCCTGCACCTCTGGCCTGTCCCCCAGTTTTGTATGAATAAATAGATATTTAAAAAGAAAAAATAAACGGTGCCCCACATCTTCTAAATGGGGATAAATTGGCTGATTCTCTGGCCTCTCTGGGCAGAGTAGTGTTTTTGTTTTATTTTTGGCTTTTGTTTGTTTTTGTGGTCTGTACTGGAAAGCAGGATTGGACTCTCATTTACCCATCCGCTGTTGACTTTGGGTCTATCCACCTAAGCTGGACAGACCCACCCTGCTGCACGTTGCCTAATGAGTTTGATAAAAACAAGTTGTGTCAGACAGATAGCTTTCTCAAAAATGGACATAAGATATGAGAAAGAAAAGGGGGAAAAAATCACCAGCAGTTTGTTCACTCTGACTCATAAACCGTCCTTCTTTTTTCTCCTCCCTTCAGTGCTCGACTGAATTAGTCAGGAATATTTTTACATTATTTTAATTGGAGTAAAGAAGATATTCCAACATAATTTCCCACACTGCTTTACAGTTCATGTCACTGCAGCTTTGGGGAAGGCCTGCCATTCCATGCCGGGAGAAGACTCTTAGTTACATGTTACATGTGCTTTTTTTTTTTTTACCTTATGTGAATATAAGGGTGTGATTTTTATGAGGAATCTGGGTGAAATAGAATGAGTTTATGAAAAACTGCAATTTCTGGAAGGTTTTAGATTTCAAGACAGTTATTCCATATGAATCAGCTCATTAAACCTTGAGGCTTTATCGCCATGATGCAAAAAGAATACTTGAGACAGGCTTGGGGAAGCCTGAATTGGTCCATTTCCGATTTTGCAGGTTCTTCTTCTATTTTTGATCATTTACATCAAAATCATTGACACCAAGCCTCTTTCCTAATTGCTATGAGCTTTTTCTTCTTTTGGAGATGGGTGGCATTGAACTAAGAAGCAACAAAAGTGACACCAATTTAAAGCTGTTTAGGAAACCAACCCTGTGTTCCAACTTTTTGCAAGAAAAAAGCAACTAGAAAGGCAGAAAGAGTTCAAATAAATCTATCTGCTCACTTTCAGGTCAAACCTGTTAGGATTAATACTTTAATGAGGTTACAGGGTTTTAGGAGATGTGTTTGCGGAAACAATCTGGAAATGAGCTGACTTGGAAGAGAAGGTTGAGAGAGCTTTCATTAACCCTGTTTGCATCATAATTTGGCAAAGTCACTGGAGACAGTTGTCTTTAGGTCACTAAAAATAGACAGTCTCATACATCCAATCATGCCGTCATTTCTCCGTCCCTTCTCTCTAGCCCTGTCTTCTTTTGGGAGCTCTCTTTGATTTCTCACCCACTTGTCTCCTCTCCAACTCTGCCTTCAGGCTGTGTAAGCCTGAGGCCCCCTGGTGGAGGGAGGGTGGGGGGCGCAATGAAGGAAGGCAGGGCTTTTCAGGACCCTACAACCTGGCTGCTTAATCTTGCAGTTAGCAGTCATTCCCTTCCACTCCATTCTCCCCTCCCCCCTCCTGCCATGTCACCTCAACAGGGTCCCCGATTCTGTACATCTGTCACTGCAAGGAGACTGGTCCATGGGAATGCTGGCTGCATGATTATCAAATAAGTGCAGGAAAGAATAAATGAATGAACAGCCAGAATGGTGGAGAAGGACGGATCTGAGTAAGGGAATCTAGGGTCTGGGGAGTCATCTGTCTCCCTTGAAGGCAGATTTTATTATCATTGGAATATCCCTCTCTTTCCACACCCCCCGATCTCCCACTGCTTCCTAATTTGCAATCAGTTCCCTCTGCGTTGTGTTCTCTTGCTGTCTGGTCATCCATCAGTTGCTGTAAACATCTGTCCATAGCTAAGCACACACATCCGTTCAGAATGAGGTTCTGTGAAAATTCTAAAGCGTCATTTAACTTCTGGATGCATTCTTTCTATTTGTTTTTCTTCCCAGTTCTGTGAATTTCATGCAGTTTTTTTTTTTTTTTGCAAATAAAAATCTTATTCCAAATATTATAAGCAGATAAAGCAAATCTCCTGTGAACTAAACAGAAGACTTGAGGAAAAGGTGGGGTTCCCAAGCCTCCATCAACATTGCCCTCGTCTGCCATACCCTTGGCAGTAAGTTTGGGGTACCCCAGAAATGCCCAGTCTCTGCTCAGCAGGTAGTCAAGTCACAGGACTAGCTTGCCCAGAGCTTCCGTTTGACCCTTACACCCTGTGGTCTGTGACATCCCCCAATCTTGAGTCTGGGTCTCAGCGTTTATGGTTTGCAGCATATGCGGGTGGTGATGCAGTCACTGCTATTAAAGCTATAAATGATGCAGGCGAGGGAGCCTCTGCTCTTCACCAGCACTCAGGGATTGGGGGTACAGGCAGATGGTTGGGAGAAATGATTCTCTAGAACAGCAGGATATCCTGGGACTCGAGGCCTCAGTGACTGAGA